AAATCGCCAGGAGGAAGTCTGGGAAGTAGTTGCTGAGCTGGTTGGCCTTGCTTTAGGCATAATTGCTCTGGTATGTCAAAGTGAAAAAAACTCTTATTAGTTCCTTTTTTTAACTGGGATTTAAAGTGTATTTTAATCAAAATTACTTTTTTGGTAGCTTAATCATAATGAAATATTCAGGATACACCTAGTATTTCCTCTTCATATCCCATGTTGGCTTGGACATGGCTCGGTTTGCGAGTTCTTCACCTCTGGTTCCGCTATCTGTCCCTTTCAGTTCTCCGCTTTAATACGGTGAGAAAAAAATCATTTTTTTTTTGTTTTTTTATTCGTTTGGGACCGACTCATTACCATTGTGATAGACTGTAAAGATAAAACAACAAAACCAATAAAAGGAATAATTCTCTCATCAGCCTTAATTTTTCAATTTCTGACAGATAAACCTCAAGCGTGCTCGTATATTGGTGAACTCGCATATCATATACCAAAATGTTCCAGGTACTTGTATGCATCACCGTCCAACTTTCCAAGTTACATAATAAGGAATGAACAAATTTTGGTTGGATCAGGAATAAATGAATGCAACAGGATGGAAAATTTATTGGTATGGGAAAGATTTCTTAAACCAAGAATTGTATTTGGTGTGCCATTGGGAGAGATGATTGTTGGCAATAAGCGTGGATCTATGGTATGACTTGGATATATATATTATATATATATTAATTACCATATAAATCAATTTATCTTAGGCTTATGACTTATGGCTGAAAAGCTACTTATATGATAAAAGTGTTTGGTAAAATTAGTTGATAAGCTAGCTGAAATAAAAATTTCAATGACCTTATTTGAAAAGTGACCAAAGGAAGTGTATGAATAAACTCGAGCTTTTTAAAATAGCTCGTCCTACCAAACTAAGTTTATTTGAATACAGGAAGCTTATAAGCTAATCAAATAAGTTATAAGTTAGCTTGCCAAACAACCTTAGACTATGTTTAGTAAATCTAGCTGATAAGCTACCTTATAACTTTTAAGTAAAATTCAAGCTTATAGCTGATAGTTTGTGAATTATGACTAAAAGCTAACTTATATGATAAAAGTGTTTGGTAAAATTAGCTGATAAGCTAGCTAAAATAAATTTTTCAGTAGACTTATTTGAAAAGTTACCCAAGTAAGCTTATTCAAAAAGCTTATAAGCTAATCAAATAATCTATAAGTTAGCTTATATGCTTACCAAACATAGAATGTAAGAGCATCAAAGGTTTTTGTTATAGAGTAAAGCTTTACATGTCTAACAGGTGAGGATGCTTCTCGAATTGTACAGGGAGGAAGAATATTTTCTCGTTGTGAACCAACTGCAAACAGAACTCAAGATTCTCGTGTCGTTTAAGGTACAGAATATTAAGAGTAGCAAAAGGCATCAATGGATAGTAAAAAAAAGTATTAAATTGAATAAAATTCCCACAGGAAGGAGCTACTAGTTTGTCGGTTTTACGAAGCGTGTGGCAATCCTATTGGCTCCATGAAAACTGGAACAGATCAGATAATGCCATCACATTACTCGAACAAAGCTTGATTGAATTAGATGATAAATTTGATGAATTTTCGGTACAACTAGACCAGGCTGGATGGGATATTGATCGGTTAAATCTAAAGGTTCCAAAGGAAATTTCGATTGAGGAAAATAGTACTGTATGAGTGAAAAGTGTGCTCCACTAAATGTATTTCGTCCTATTTTGACTGGATTAAGAGATTCCGGTCGAATTAGTTTTTTTCACTACCACGAGAAAAGTTGCTTCACGGGATTTTTTCGAAGCTTAAGAAAGTCGTAGAATGCAAGTTTTCGGATGTCTTGTGGGGAAGTATATGCGATTTTGTAATGAATTGACTGAGCTCTCATCACTGGAAAAGCTTGGAGAGTTTGTTGTTTAAAGTTTAAACACTTTAGACTAGTCCTAGTGTAATTAGATGTTGTATTTAACTGTTTACATAAAATAAAATGTGATTATATAGTGAAAAAACGTAAGTTTCGTTGGGCAAGTGATATTTGGTATTCTATAATTTGGTAAAAATTGTCCCAGACTTGTTAAAATTTAAAAGGATCTGATATAATATAATGATTTACTTATATATATCCATTCAAAAAGAAAAAAAAAAAAGAGAAAAAGAGAAACGTTGAAATTTTGAAATTTTAGTGTTCATTTCAAGTTAGTTGAATATCTTTCACTTGCAAAAAAGTCAAGTTTACCTCAAAATTTTGATTCTTATTTGTCATTTGTAAAGATGTAAATGAATCAAGCTGAGTTGAGGTTCTAATAATTGGATTCGGACTCAAGCTTTTATTGATTCAAGTTGATTTTGGCTTGTTGACCCGAGCGTTTATTAATATTAATGATTTGAATTTAAACGTTAGTGAAAAATACGTAAAATCCTATTTCTCAATCTTTAATGAACCTTCAACTCTTCGACCCGAACTCGAAAGTCAGTAAAAAATTAAAAATTACGTATAAATCTATTACTATATAATACGGAGAAGAAAAATTATTTGAACAATCCGAAAATAATCATTTCGTTTTCCCGCTTCAATATAGTGTTTTTCCCGCTTCTTCAATTCGTAATTTTTTTTTTTTTTTATTTTTTTTAGCCCATGCAATTAGGTAACCAATCAAATCGAATCTTTTAGCATTCAATTTGGTAAGGTGTTCCGATTTTAGCATTCAAATCCGATTTCACTTCCTTTTTTTTATGCCAATCAATCCGATTTTTTTGGTTGTTTCAAAATTTGTTTAGATTTATATTTTTATTTTATTAATATATTTGAAAGAGAATCAATAAATGTTTATCATAAATTTTATTTTAAAAATAAATTTGAATAAGCATACCTTTTACTTTATATGAAATTCAAAATTACATATTTTAATATATTAATAAACGTTTATTATTTATTTTTTACTTATGTGATATAATAGAATTTCGGTATTAAATTTGTAAATTCAAACATTTAAAGGAAAAGATTCCAAACAATTTTTTTGGGTAAATTTCATTTTATCTTGGTTTTCATTATCACATTTCTGACAAACTAATTAGTATTATATTTTTTTATCTACATTATCTAACCGATTTTTTATGATACAATTAATATAATATCTTAACAAATTAATCATTTGTCTAACCGGATTTATCTCTCTAACAAACTTGCCAATTTTTTTAAAATTAAAATTGTATGATTATTCTTATGGAGATACTTATCAATATATTAAATATTTAGAAACTTTGTTTAAAAAATGAGTTATCCCTCCTTTTACTTTATTTGAAATTCTGACTTATATTTTTAAATATATTATTATTTATTTTTTTACATGTAAATATTTATTATTTATTATCTAAGTGATAAATATTATTGATTTATCTCTTTAATAAATATTTATTATTTATTTTTTTCCTTACGTGATATAATGTAAATTTGGTTACTAGATTTTTAAATACAAACATTTAAGAAAAAACCACGAACAAATTTTTTGGTTACATTTCATTTTATTTTAACTTCCATATAATCACAATCCTAACAAACTAATTAGTATAATATTTTTTACCCATTTTTATATAATCGAATTTCTTAAAATATAATTAATATAACATTTTAACTATTAATCATTTGTATAACTTGATTTAACTTATTATCAAACTTGCCAATTTTTTTTTGAAATTAAAAAAAAATTGGAAGATTTTTGTTTGTAAAATAATAAAAAAATAGCTTTGCTTTAAAGTCTGGATTATTTCTATTATTTTTTGTATGTTAACAATCATATATTTTGAATTATTGATTTAAAAAAATAAATCAAAACCGTAAGGTTTAATAATATTCCTTAAATAAAAAATATTGTATAAAGAAAAGTATTTAATATTATATATTTTTCATTGATTGTATTTATTTTATTTTTATAATAGACGAGATGTGAAAAATATAAATAATTATATTTAAAATAAAGTCTAAAAAATATTTAAAATATGAACTCTTCCGTGCATAGCACGGGATATACACCAGTTAAATCCTAAAATGTTAGCGGATATTGAGTTCAAATTATCACTCCCTCCAATTTCGTAAAAAAGGGGGGAAAACCCTAAAACTAAAACCCGCGCGATTTCCAAAACAAAAGCCAAAAATGGCTGTAACGATTCACGTCTCTCAATCTCCACACTCCACCTCTCCTTCACCCACCTACTCGCCGGCCGCGTCCGGCGTTCGCCTCCGGCGCTCCGCCATCGGACATTCTTGAAATGACGTGTTCCTAGACGAGAAGATGCGGACGGCTGACTGTGCCGAACCAGATTCAGCTGATCCTCCGCCGGAGCTCAGGAGATGGATCCGGGCGAAGGAGTTTCCCGTCGGGTCGGGCTACGAGGCGGGCGTTCGGGCCACTGAGGAGGGTCGTGGAGCTGTGTTGCGAGTTGCGACTGGGTGATTAATGTGCTGACGGCTTGTGTTTTTATCTGATAATTGATCTCGCCCTAAGGTAAAGATACGCTTTGACTTCATTTTAATCAGCAGAACTAATGGTGTTCCAGTTACTTGCTGTTTGTTAACGGTAGTTTATCAAGTTTTCAGAATTTTTCTCTGTTGATTGTGTATTTGTGTTGTAGATAGGGATTGACATGCTGATGGGGCTGTTTTTAGGAACTCAAAGCTGTTTTGTTTTGCTTAAAATCATGGATGTGTTGCTTGTTTCAATTTTCAGTCATACAACCTTTTTCTGGATCATATTCCTAAGGAATTTTGTAAAGTGCTGGTTTAGATTACCTATTTTTAGTCGGCATTGTGTAATTTAATTCTGGAATTGTGAAGTTTTAGATCACAAAGAGCAGATTGTGAGCTGTAAGCTGTTTCTTCTTCCATATGTCCGATTCATATTCAGATTACATTTATTGGGGAATACTCTGAACTCTTGAAACCATTAAGGGCATTACTTGCTCGTGCAATAAAAGCCATGTAAAGCAATTCCAGATTTCACTTCTTAATTGCCATTAATTCCAGCGTTAAGTAAACTTAAGATTGTATTTTTCTGGTTTTGTGAATTACATTAGGTGAAATGGCCTACGAAGATGACATGAAGAATGAAAGATAATTTAAACTTCCGCTGCAACATCACGATTTGAGGTATTTGGTTAAACACTTTCGTTACGGTTAATGAAATGCATGGACTTTGGAATAACGAGCATTTTCTTTGTGTTTTTTCTCATGTGGCTCATGGCCTAGTTGACAGAAACAGATATAATCTTCATTATGGCCACAGTTCTATAACATATATATCAAGAAGTTGGTCCTTATTTTATTCTCAAAGGTAATTCTAAATTCCCAACAAACCTTTATCTGTGGGTAATTCTTTGATATTTGTTTATTGTTTCTATAAATTTTGATTGTCTTTCAAGATTTTGATTGGCAAAACAAGAGTAGCAATTAATCCTAATGGCCACTTGTTTAAAAATTCATGGCTGTCCAGAGCTCCACAGGATACAACCTGAGTATATGCTTTCTTGTAGTCATGAGACTTAAAAGTTAAAACCCAGCAATTAGAGGTTAGCATGTCTTTATCATAGTCACCTAATTTTTTTTTTTTTTTAATAAAGTTTTCTTTTATTCTTGGATAAGAAGTAGCGTTTTGCATTGTTAATGGTAATGGCCCCATTAAAAGCATTTACTTATTTCTGATTCTATGCTTGTTCATTTCTTTTCTGCCTCTCTGATGTAATTAAGGTACATTTTTTGAATTGCATATTCTTATGCGAGTAACTGTACTGTTAGACGGGTCTGACCCGCAATACAGTTTTTAAAAATGCATACTTATGCTATGATCATACTTTTATTTATGTTTAAAAATGCATATTTATGCTATGATCATACTTTTATTTTTGTTGATTTTTAAGAGCGTAACCTTTCAATTTTAAAAGTATGGGTATCTGTTGGAAAAATAATCCGTTATTGAATATGTTGGCTCTTAGTTCATAGGCTTAATGTTTAAAAATCTGTTGGACCAGTCTGAACATATTGTTTCATACAACAAAGGGGAAAAAAAAGGAGATGATAGAATATTGCAGTGATTTGTGAGTTTTCTCCCCTTCACAGCTCTTGAATTGACATAAAGCTTGTCCATTTGGAAAATGATACAATGATATTCGTAACGTAAGCTAACACCAAGGCATAGTATTAAAATTTAGGTGGGATGTACCAATTTCCTCCACTTTCTCTTTTTCCAATTAATGATGTGATTTTGTAGCGGTCTTGAATCTGAAGTGAGAAACTAAATGAAAAATCCCACATATAAATATCACAAAAACTACCAGCATGACGTAAGTGTAGATAAAATTTATTGTTTAATTGTTTTTTAGTACATAGTTTGTGGACATGATATAAAAAAAAAACAATACATACAACATGAGTAAAAAAAAAGAAATGTGATTTAAGTATTTTCTGGTTCATGCGTGGCCAAATTTAATGCTACGCCGAGGCTACAATAATGCTAAGGAGTCAATTATTGGTTCTGTTATGGAGCCAACAGCCAATGGGACAACTCCATGGTGTGGGATAGCCCTACATGAAGTTGTCCCATTGACTGTTAGCTCCATAACGGAATCAACAGTTGACTCCTTAGCATTACTGACCGAGTCTAAAGTGAAATTATTGATAGTTGACCTTTGGACATTGTTGAGTAAGTTGCACCAAGTTCAAGATCTACCTATCATGATTGTTATTGTGAAACTTGCCACCTTTTCAAACTGATAAATTGCTCTTTATTTTTATCTTTTAGAAAATCTTTTTTACGTAATATAAAGATATATTAAGTCTCTGAATTATATGGTTCATTTAAATTTTTCAGCACAAAAAGTATAAATGTTATGTAAATAGACCACATGCATATCAATTACATAATTGTCGTATATTTATCGTACAATGCTTTCGCATTCTTTGAGTGAAAAAATTAATTTATTAATAGAAAGTATGAAAAACTTAATACATTTTCATAGTGGGTGAAAAAGGATATTTTTTTTTTCCATTTTATTTTTTCTTGAGTGAGATTATGTCAATTACTAGTCGTTTGAGGAGCCAAACTTCCCCTTTCATAAATAATTCGAAATTTATTTACTTGAATACTGGCACAACACTGCATACTTTTGTTATTAGATCGAAAATGAATCCGGATTACTCTTACTAATGCAAGTGTTAAAATTGGGATCGAATTCTTTGTGCCCAATTCAAATTTGCATAATTGCTTACGTGCTTAATGAGGAAGACTTGTTCTTGTTAGTGTATTGCTATTAAATTGGTGAATTGAAATATTGAATTCTATTTATAAAATTGACCTATCAAATTCGCTAATTATTATTTTAATAAATAGTTTATTTGATTAGTTTTGGGTCTAAAATGTTATATACAGCGGTGTTTTAGTAGAAATATTAAAGTTTTTAGAAAAGTTATAGCAAATTTATTATAATTTGCTAGTTAAGTTAGTTATTACAATTATTCTAAAACAATAATATTGTAACTTTTGACAATATAAAATATGCATTTTGGCTAAAAAAATTTAATGGATCGTCTAGCTATTATCTTACGCCTATCAACAGTTTAAATGCTGAGACAGTCCTTAGTGTAAGCAAATTAATCCAAGCTCTTTTTCCATCCGAAATTTAATGTTGCAGCTAAAAGCTACAATAATTGATCTGTAACTGCTGGAAAGACCACAAGAGCAAGGGAATTTGTAAATACAAGCTATAATTGACAAATAATTGAAGTATCTATAAATATCATGCACTAGTGCCACCTTTTATTTCCTGAAATTTAGTGGATATAAGCTACATTGGGCATATATTCGACCTTCAATTAGTAAGTACTCATTTTCCTATGCCCAATATGTACATGACACATAAGCAGCAGACATCTAATTTTATATGTAAAAAATGTCATAAATATTGTCAATTGATATAATGGAAAGGGAAAAAAATAATACTACTTATGAGAATTGTCCTGACTTAGGCCTTAAGACAATAATTATTTTTGATGATAGAATTAAATTTTTTTCTCGAATACATCTATTAAACAAAAAATCCAAAAATGTTGTTAATTGTATAATTTCGGAGCGTAGGACTTAAACCACAAACCACCTTTAGACTGTGGTTAAAATTCTAACCAAAGTCGAGTCAAGTTGGGCCCTTTTTAGTTTTCTTGTAAGTAATTTCAAAAAATTAAAGCAAACACGAAACCAATAATGCTAAAGAGTCAATTGTTGGCTCCGTAAACATTACTAAACACGAAACACCCACCAAACACAAATTAACTAATTGATTAAACACCCACCAAACACAAATTAACTATCGATTAGATTAAAACTATTAGTTAAATTAATGAAACTAAACAAAAAGTGGTAACTGAAGCGTTCGGTCCAAGCGAGCTAGCTTTCTATCAGTAAACCTCGGATTTGGTTAATCTCTGTGACCCCCTCCTAAAGCCCTTGTTTTTCATTTTCTTTTTGACTTTATTTTNAAAATTGAATGGGAGTTAGAGAGAGGAAAAAGGGAGGGTGATGAGGAAGTCTTTTAAAGATTCTCTCAAAGCGCTAGAAGCTGATATTCAACATGCCAATACCCTGTAAATTTCTTTCTTTTTCCGTATAATCTTTGTATTTTCTGCAAATTTTCTGATGTGCATTCTGTTTTTTCTAGTGTGTTTATGTGTGTGTGTGAGAGAGTGATTGTAGTGCTCGTATAGTTATGATTTTCATACTTTAGTTTGATTTTCTTCTGTTTTTAGGTGGATACTTCTGTGGGCAACTTATAATTTGATATGGGTCGTTCAATCTCTTCAACTTCTATTAATGTTAATGATACTAATATAAGATGGATTAAGGTGGTTTGTTCTAAGCTTCAAATCCATAATTTGACAGCACGAAGATAAAAATGTGCAGACTCGATTACTCATTGGGTTAATGAGTGTATTTTCGAGTGAGAATAACATTATTATAGTAGCTCAGGTATTTATAATTTTTTGGATATTGAACTTCTCTTAGATGTCAAGACTGTGGTTTCCATTATCAAAGACAAAAACTTGTCAAAATCTTCATTTCCCTTTTTTCTCATTTATTTATGTCTTAAGAAGAAAAAAAAAAATCGAAGAAGGTATCTGTGAACTGTGATTGAAGGGCTTATCCACACCTTCCACTGCCAATCAGTAGTTGAATTGGCACATTGTGGTATGGTGTGTTCCTAATGAGATAAACAATGTGCAGTATAACGATTTTTTTCGTTCTTTTTTCTCCATTTTTTTTTTTTTTTGATATAGTCTTTAATTATATAACAGTGCATCTGGTTATCCGAGAGAATGTGATGGCGCGTGGCTTCAGATGAGACTATCATACAGTCCGTGTGCCCATATTCTCCTCTTCCTTTTCCAGTGGACTGAATGTCGTCTTGCTGGTGCACTTGGTCTCATTTGTATCCTCATTTATAAGGTTGGCCTTTAATAAGTCCTTTCCTTTTTGTTGGTGTAAAGTTCAACGCTTGCATTGGTTTTCTGCTTAATCTAATTCCACTAGAATCAATAGAATTAATGTTTAGGTGTTGAAAGTGTAGGCGTATGGAGATGGCAAGATGACAATGTCTGTACATGAAAGGAAAGCTAGCATAAAAGAGTTCTATGGTGAGTAAACTAGACTTCAAAATTTCCCCTTCCTTATTGCTTTTGGATTTTGCAACCTACAGTATTTTTCGTGGTAAAATGCAATAACTTCATGAACATTCATAATTTGCATTTTACAACGAAAAATATTGTAGGTTGCTAATTCCAAAAATACAATATGTTAGAACCATTACCCTTTTTCTTTTTTTTTTTCAGTTTACTTATAGTTGCTATGATTTAGAAGTTCTATGGGATTAGAATCACAAAAAAAGTGCAAGCTAGTTTATCCTAATTAAAGAAAAGACTCGATTGCTCTTCGAAATCACATATATACTCTGTTGGCATTTTTTTCGGTTTGATTCTGCATCTCCCATTTTGTGTATTATTATAACCACAAAGTGAGTGGGGGTATCTAAATTTAAAACCAAAAACCGAATTCTTTTTTCTTTTGGAGAAACTCGTGGGGTTAGTCATGTAATTCGCATGATTGATAGAACACGAAGAATGGATCTTTAATTGTGATAATTACTTTGGACAGGAGTGATATTTCCCTCTTTGCTGCAACTCCATGGCGGAATAACCGATGCCGATGAGAGAAAACAGAGAGAGATTTGCGCAACAAAATATAAAAGAAAAGTTGAGATTACGAACAAGGGCAAAAAGCTGTCTGAAACCGAAATCGAAAGGGAGGAAGAATGTGGGATTTGCATGGAAATGAACACTAAGTTTGTCTTGCCCACTTGCAATCATTCTTTGTGCATGAAGTGCTACAAGGATTGGTAATTCAGCTAATGCTTCTCTCCAATTTACGTAAAATTTTGTTTTTAAGGATATACTTACTTTCCCAAAAAAAATAAATAAATAAATAAATAAATAAATAAATAGCCAATTAGAGTGTTTTGTCTTGCGGCTCGAGCATGTTTCTCGAGCATAGGTTTTGGACGGTCGAGCAGCTTGAGATATGTAGTGAATTACTAAAATACCCCTTATATATAAATATTACAATATTTTATATATGTACTTAATGGTAATTTACTTGAAATTTGAGTCGAACTCGAGCCGAGCTCGAGCAACCTTTTGAGCATTTTGATTTCAATCGATCTCGAGCCGAGCTTGAGTGATTGTCTTCTTTTATCGAGTCGATTTCGAGCGTCATAAATCAAGCTTGACTAGCTCGAGCAGCTAAAGAAAACAAAAAAAAAAAATCAATCTTGCTTGATAAGGTCAATGCTTGACTTGGCTCAGCACGTTTGTAGCCCTGACTCTTGCCTAATATATGTTCTTACAGGCAATCAAGATCTCAGTCGTGCCCGTTTTGTCGAGACAGTCTCAAAAGGATTCGTTCGGGGGAGCTATGGATATACACTAGCAAATGTGACATTATCGACTTATCAACCTTTGAACGTGAGAACCTTAAGAGACTTTTCATGTATGTCGACAAATTGCCGGTTGTCGTGCCAGATGCAATGCTGATTTCTCATGATCCTCGCATTTGATAATCGCATTTGAGGATTTATATTTATATTTATTATTTTCTTTTTACATTTGCAAGCATATTCTTTCTTCGTTTGTAATTTGTACATGTATTTGGGGAGCTGAGCGAGCTCCTTCAGTAGTTACAAAATTATAGGGGGAAAAAAAATCTGATTCATAAAGGTAGATATTGCTGTGTATAGTTGCAAAATCAGGATTGCTATTAATCACTATTTAATATAAAATAATTATTATCTTACAGTTTTTTGTATGAATCTGTCTAACGGTTATGCAGATCAACTTATCATATTATTTGAATAAAAATAAACCATAATCAAATGTTACATACTTATTTATGTTCTTTTTTAAAGTGTGCATATATTACTAAAAAATGCACGCCGGTCTAATAGTTATGCGGACCTAACCTACGAGCAATGGCTGTATTTAATTATTTATTTATCTACATGAACATACAAGGCAGTGCTAGACCAATAACACCCCAGAAAAACTGCCACATATAACTAGAAAGTTTAAAAAAAAACAATGAATTAAAGAAATAGCAAAGAAGGTATTTGTTTTTCTATTTTTCCAAAATTGTTACTTTTTTTTTTTCAAAACTGCAACTGTAATTACCCCTAATAGATAGACATAGCTAGCAAAGAATGACAGTTTATATAAGAATTCACTGCTCAGCTGCTTGATATATTAACCGGATTTTAACCGAGTCGACCAAGCGAGTTGCCCAAATATTTAACAACGGCCATATTGCCCTGTGAGGAGCTACACAAACACAACCTACACAGTATGTTTTGTTCCATTACATGTTCCAAACAAACGGGAATAAAAAACGTTTTTTTAATATACCCGAGTCAGAATACTCCATAAGCCTTGAACCCGATACTTCAACCTCACTCATCGTCCTCGTCATCATCCTCGTCATCCTCATCCTCGTCATCATCATCCCCCGCTTCCTGCACATTACAGAATGCTAGATGGTCACTCATAACTAAAAGCAGCAAAAGCCTAATTAGCCGTACACATGTTATAAAGATACAAAATACTCAATAAACTAAAACCTTCTTATAATGTCAAAAGCCACAGAGCCACTGAAAACACCAAAAACCAGTAGAATTAGATATGAATTTGATTTGGTTTTGATTGGGTTTTTTGTTAACCATAGTTAATTTTGAAAAAAATGGTATGATTAGCTGTTAGTGGGATTTCGAGTTTATATTAAAATAATATAAAATAAAATAATTAAAGTTTTGTTTGATGTGATGTAAAAATAAGAGGGAGATGAAGTGCAGTGATGGTTAGTTAAAATTACGTGAGTGGATAGATAGTGAATTAAAGTTGATGTGATTTGTAAAAATGAGTGATTGGTATTATTTAATTATATTGATATTACTGAATATAGTGATAGTGGGGTTAGGTTAAAGTTGAGTTAAAAAAATGATTGAGTTAAAAAAATGATTGGTTTTTTTGGATCAAATCTATATCCAATCACACCTTTAGGTTCATGACATTAATACCGAATCTAACACCACCACAAATTGTTAATCTTCACATGCTAACACACGAAAAAAACTTTTCAGACATCAGTAGATTATATTACTAGATTATGAGCATTGAACCACTTGCTTACAAACCTGTACACTTCCCTCCTCATCATCGTGAATTTCCGAGGTTGACTTCTCAGAACCTTCGTCACCCTCATCAGCAGAGCTATCCTGCCGATTTCAGACAAAATGGATAAATTTTATATAAATTACAAGTCCCAGCAGTGAATAACACACGTGAAGAGAGAAAAACACAAAACTAAAAACAAAAGAAAACTACATCAAGGTATGTTGTGTTCACCTGCTTTTTGTTGTAGGCATTCATGAGTTTTTCATACTCAGCCTTCTTCTTCGCTGCTTTAGCTTCATACGGAGCCTTTTCCTGGGAATAACACAACAGTTTTTGCCAAACAACAGCAAATATAAATGACCGTGACATATTTTTTTATTGAATTGTCATACACTTGCTATTTTCGGTAACAAAATTTCACCCAACGGTAAATACTCGACATGTATAGCACTTACAGCTGCACTCAATGATTTCCACTTCTCTCCTCCAGCTTTTCCAACCTAAAGGTATCGCATAGGTAAAAAAAACCAGGAACAATAAACTCGAACTAACTATCGCAAATTAATAGCGTTCTACAATTTCATACAGCTGAGACTGCCTTCACATTCGGGTTTTCTTTCTTGAAAGTCTTCCTGAACTCCTCCCTACAACAAGCATCATAAAATTTCAGACCAACCCTCAAAAAGTATGGCTATTTTTTGGTAAAACTAATGATAGCTGAATAAGTGATTTTCGAGCTTATACAATTTGTATGATAAAAGTGTTTGATAAAATTAGCTGATAAACTAGCTGAAATAAAAAATTCAACGAACTTAAAAAACTACCCAAAGAAGCTTATGAGATATGCTCGAGTTTTTTTAAAGAAGCTCGTCCTACCAAACCAAACTTATTTTAATACAGGAATCTTATAAGCTAATTAGATAAGCTATAAGCTAGCTTATTTAGTTACCAAACATAGGCTACAGCTTGGATACTCAAAATCTTGAAAAACAGAGAATAAAATAATTCCGTACAAGAACACAAAGAAAGCACTCGGGGGCCTTTTGGGTTTGTTCGGGTCTTTCTTGACCTTAGTTCCCTTCTTAGCCTTCTTCTTCTCTGCCTTAGGAGGGGCAGCTTTCCTTTTCCCAACCTTACTGAACAAGAACACGCATATTCATCAGTAAATGTACCGTTCGATAGAAAACAAATGCTCATTGACTAAAGTAAATAAAGCCCGATAAATATATCATCCGATAGAATTAGAAACAAAATTTTTATTGATTAGAGTACATAAAGATCGACCGGTCATCGACGGGCTTCAATGCTTCTTTAGTTTCCTTTTTCGTGGCCGCTCGACTCTTGCTCCCAGTCTTCATATCTGCAAACCGAAAACTTTCATATTACACAATTCATGAAGATAAAATTACATAGTGATACAAAAGTAAAAGGAAACATTTCACTGAGATAAAACTGTCACTAAACAAGGTAAGACATTAATCAAAACTAAAAACATCCATACTTATGATAAGTACAAAATGAATAATTTGTGTGCAGATGCATTTTAACTCTACTTAATCACCAAAAGAAGTGGGGAAAAAAATAAAGATAAATCAGAAAAAAAGTCACCTCGAAAGGGAAATAAAAGCAAACAACCAAACCTAACTAATTCACCATATGTCTGCGAATTTGTTAGGAATTATATGGTCAGAGCAAGAGAGATTAAAAGATCACAAAATTAATCAATTACTGAACAACAGAAAACACATAGCAAACAAATATCACAACAAACAACATGCCACAGCAAAAATTAACCAACTGAAGTACTAAGCCGAGGGGAAATTGAGAAAAAAGCTGCAAAACAAATTACAGCAAAAAATAAATAAATAAATAAAAAATAATAATAGCGCTACAATTACAAAATTCTACCAGTAAATTCGATGAACACTTAATTTCCTGAAAAGAATAGCACGAAAATTGAAAATAATTAACAAGACAAACTTTACCTAAGAAGATAACAAGCGATCGGTGATCAGTTGATAGTACAGAGAGAATTAAAGAAAGAGAGGGAATAGTATACTGAAAGCAGTGAATGCGAAAGGACGCGTACTCACCACGGGCTACCGGAACAAGCGGTAAAGGGGCAGCTCAACTTGACTAAAAAAACATAGTACAATAACATCGTTTATTATTTATTAAACTAAAGAAAATTCGAAGGGGTGCTCAATTAATAGTAGAAAATTTATTGGGGGCATGATTGTATCATTGAATTAGACTGAAAAATGTAGTGTTCATTTTTTCAGAATAATTTGAGGATACCATTAGATTGCGACATTAGGGAAAAAACAAAAAAAGAGAAACTAAACATTCATGATTTTATAATCATAGTTAATGTAAATAAGTTATTTATTGTGTTTGATTTTATAATCATACTTGATGTAAATAAGTGATTTATTGTGTTTATATATGTAATATCTAATGTTGTTGGTCTAGTCATGCATATGAGTAAAATTTACTTATTTTATAAAAATAATATGATCAAATTTAAATGGATCGTAATTTATCCTTTTGTTTTTCTTGATTTGAATCTATTTTTAACAAGTCTACCTTTTATATTATGCAATTAGAATTTTAGATTTTTTTTTCTAGTTGGCATATAGTTTCATTAAATAATAATAAAAATGCTAAAATAAAAGAAAGGGTCAAACTAATTTTGAATTGACTTTTTCTTTTTTTTTTTTTATGTACTTATATGCAAAGTTTCAATAAAAATATTAGAAAATTTAGATGTAGAGATACATACAAATATAATTGTTAGAGCAACTCCAACGCTGCTTTGGAGTTGCGTATTACTCTGAAGTAGCGCAAGATTTACTCTCCAGTCCCACGACAGATTTCAACGCTACATCAGATAAATGAATAGTGTTACTCCAGAAGTGGCGCAGCACTGTACAACGCGCCAGAATATTTTTTTTTCTTTTTTTAAAAAAAAATGTAATATTAATGATAATTTTTTATCAAATGTGTATTAATAAATGTATTTTTATGCTTATGCAAATTACTTTTTTATTTATTGATGTGTTATAATTTTATTTTATATTTTTTTAATAAAATAGTATCATATGAATAAAAATTTAACACATTCAAACAAGTAGATTTCATTAAAATTAAAAGTTTACACCACACGTAAATCATAAAAATAAATAAAATACATTTTTATTATTATGGTAATAAAATATTTATATAAGATTAAATTAATATATATATATATATATCAATTTATTTAAAATAAAAACGAATAAAAAAGTAATATATTTGATGTAGAGTAAAATGTAGAGATAAGGGTTAGGCCATCTCCAGTCCTTATCTCTACTCTAGCGCAGATTTTACTCTATTCTAAAGTAGAGTTAAACAAAAGTTAGGTGTTGCCTCCAACCGTTCGCGCTACATTTTACTCCACACAATTATTTAACATAATAAATACATTTATCAATACACATTATACAAAAATTTACCAGTAATATTACATTAAATTACACAAACATAAAATAGAAAAACGTGGCGTTTGCAAAATAAAATTATATTACATCAATAAATAAAAAACACATAATTATTTAACATAATAAATACATTTACCAATACACATTATACAAAAATTTACCAATGATATTACATTAAATTACACAAACATAAAATAAAAAAAAAATGTAGCGTTTGCAAAATAATATTATAATACATCAATAAATAAAAAAATATAAATTTTTTTAACATAATAAATACATTTACCAATACACATTACACAAAAATTTATCAATAATATTACATTAAATTAAACAAACAAAAAAAAAAAAAAAAATGTAGCACGTGAACAGTGTTGCGCCAGAACTGGCGCAACACTGTTCAATTCTGTATTCTAGCGCAGATTTGTGGCGCCGCACTGGATGGCAACTTTAACACCACTTTGCCTTTTTTCTCTAGAGTAGAGATGCATTGGAGAAGCTCTTAGAGACATTTGTTTCACTCTACTCTAGAGTAGAGTAAAGTTCGCGCTAGAGTAGAGATAAGGGCTGGAGATGGTCTTAAAAATTTATAGTTGTATATATGTTGATCCCTTTTCGTCTTTGGACCAGAGGTTGATGCCTGTTTTTATGTAAGGTTGTTGCCGAAGACCCTATGCAAGTAGGGGAGGTTATGCTTTACTTTTATTTGTAGGATTGTGTTTCTTTTATTTTCTTTTGTGTTTTATGTAAGTCTCGGTTGTGTTCGAGTTCTAGTCTTTCGTGTTGGGAGTTTATTGTTTTCTTTTTTGGAAGTGTTTTTGATTGTAGGACATTCCATTGGCAGCTTGTGTAAGTCCAGGAGAATTTGTGTCTAGACTTGTCCTTATTTTTGTGATGTCAGTTCACATTCCAATTGTACTTGTTATTTTGAGTATTATATAGCATTATTACTTGAGAAAAAAAAAACACCTATGCTCTTAAACTTAAAATCTTTAATTCATTCAAATGACAGAGTTTGACTTGATGAAGAATCGAAACTCAAGTGACCTGTAAAATGATCAAACGAGGCATGGAATAGGGGACTAAAAAAACTTTGTTGTGCTTAGCTTTATAACTCTTGAAAAAATTTTATACCTATATGTTGACGATCGACGTCAACGTTCCTTAATTCAAAGATTTAGGGCAGCTAAGTGATGTATGGGAAAGTGTTTGATATGGTAGTTAAGTAATATAGGGTTGTGCAATGAAACAACACACGATTTCGCCGATCTGGTGGGAGATTCGACGAGGAGAAAAGTTTTTTCATAGAAATGACTAGCAACAGTTTAGTATTACAATGATGGTCGTAGTTCGGACTTGTATATGCTAATATGTTTTCTATATTTAGCTTGTTCAACTTGTTCTTTAGTGAGGCACAAGGGGTCACCTTTATACAAGAAAAAAGTAAAGCTAATTATGATTATGAGCCAGCTTGATGGCTAAGAAGAGAACGCTTGGAACCTTGCAAAAGTTCATTTTTTGAGGACGAGACGTAATTATGTAGGTCTGCACAAAATGACTGGTTTAGATGGTGAGACGAGACCTCTTAGTCGGTTGTATCATCATATTTAATGATTTTACTTATACAGTATGTCAGAGAGTGTTCACACTTTGCAGGGGGATCAACGGAGGGCGATCGCTGAGATTGACAGTTGTTGAAAGAGACGAGCATGCGACAAGTTTGTATTCCAGTGTTGGGCTGATCATAGAAGTATTCTTGGGCTTAGGTTATGTAGTAGCGTTAATGAGTCGTACTTCCACACTCATCGTTCAAGGTGTTTGAGGAGCTTTAATGGCATGCACAAAACTACTTATATAGGTAGCATTTTGTAATATCATGAGAAGTGAATTGATCTATAAGGTTGTTTTATGATTGGAAGATTGCAAAAATTTAGCACATAACCCATGAGAAAAATAACTTGTGGTGAATAAATCATTGATTTCGAATAAGTATATTTTGTAAAATCGTTACTCCACACAGATATTACGATGTAGATCAAATCTCCACCACTTAATATCAACCACAAATACCAATCCGACGTGGCACCCTCACTCCACTTAATCCACTTAAGAAAACCAAAAATAAAATCAACCAATCTCCACTCGACAAGATAAGAAACAGATAAGCCCAGCACTCCCCATCACCGTCGGATCCACTCCCCTTCCCAATCCAATGGCGCCGGTCGCCTCACGTCCAAAAATCTCCATCTCCATCACCACTCAAACACTCGCCCTATATCCCCAAACCAACCCAAATCACCAAAATCTCACACTCACACACACACACACACAAAAACCACTTTCTCAGTTTCTCACCACCTGAAAACACCACCCGCCAACATGGCTGCCGCCGCCTCCGCCGCGTCGTCGCTCATCGGGACCCGATCGGCCCGAATCCAGGCCCGATTCGCGTTCGGTGGGAAGAAATCGGCCCCCAAGCGCGCCGCCTCGAAGACCGTCGTCCCCGACCGGCCGCTGTGGTATCCCGGTGCCAAGGCGCCGGAGTACCTCGACGGGTCGCTCGTCGGGGACTATGGGTTCGACCCATTCGGCCTCGGAAAGCCCGCCGAGTACCTGCAGTTCGACCTCGATTCGCTCGACCAGAACCTTGCCAAGAACGTCGCCGGAGATATCATCGGGACAAGGACGGAGGTCGCCGACGTGAAGTCGACGCCGTTCCAGCCGTACAGCGAGGTCTTCGGGCTTCAGAGATTCAGGGAATGCGAGCTTATTCATGGAAGGTGGGCCATGCTCGCCACACTCGGGGCCCTTACCGTCGAGTGGCTCACCGGCGTCACGTGGCAGGACGCCGGAAAGGTATTTTTCCGTTTGCAATTTGCAGTATTGTACGTGTTTTTTGTGACTTTTACATTATCAAGATACACTCAGTTTATGATTTTTTTGCTAAACTTTGGATTGGATTTTCCCTAGTGATTTTGGATTGAAGTAGAAATTTTGAATTATGCATTTTCATATAGTTGGGTTTGCCTTTTTGCCTTATGGTCAGGATTATGAAATTTTAGTAAGTTTGGACTGTTGACTTGAACACAATATGTTGTGAATTATGAATTTTCATAAAATTCGGATTGCAATTGGAACTCTTTCATAAAGTTCGAATTGTATTTTACTAAGATAAATAATTAATGTAAGTTACAACTTCTAGTACATTTTAACTATACACATGTGTGCTTTCTCCTAAGGTTGTATTATCAAGATGCAAATTGCTAATTATGAATGTCTATATATTGTAAAGTTAAAATTCTTGTACATTTTGACTATACATATTGCAAATTATGAATGTATGTAGGTTGTAAGGTTATAAATTACGTATTTTTTTAACAATATTGGAAACAAAATAAATATTTTAACCAACACATAGTAAATATATGGAATAATTGGTTCAAATTGTTAATAATGTTGGTTCAAAATATTGACTTCTTCCAATTCTCTTTGATTGAAATATCGTTAACACCTTAAAAAACCTCAATTTTGTAGTATGAAATTATTGGTTCAAAATATTGAATTCTTCCGACTCTCTTTGATTGAAATATTGTTTCTACAATTTTAACACCTTAAAAAAAAAAAATACTTCAATTTTTCTAACAGGTTGAGCTTGTTGAAGGATCATCTTATCTCGGTCAACCACTCCCATTCTCCATAACCACATTAATTTGGATCGAGGTGCTTGTTATTGGGTACATCGAGTTCCAGAGAAATTCGGAGCTGGACCCGGAAAAGAGGCTCTACCCGGGCGGGTCGTATTTCGACCCGTTGGGCCTGGCTGCGGATCCTGAGAAGAAGGCCACGCTTCAGCTGGCTGAGATTAAGCACGCCCGTCTTGCTATGGTTGCCTTTTTGGGCTTTGCAGTCCAAGCAGCGGCTACTGGTAAAGGCCCACTTAACAATTGGGCTACCCACTTGAGTGACCCGCTCCACACGACCATCCTTGACACATTTGGCTTTTTCTCTTGAAGGCACATTATTTTGCTCCAATCTGTTTTGTATGTGTAAAAATTATGAATTGAGTATCATCACGAGTGTGTTCTCTCATCTGTCTTTGTAAAAACTTGAAATACTACTAAGTATTATTTGACATATGCATAATTTAGTACTTAATTTGTGATGTTGTCAATCAAGAGCAATAAAGAGAATAATACACACCCCTAAATTGAGAAAATTAAGAAATTTAGTTTGAATGGATCTTCTATTAATTTTATTTTTAGAGTAATGTTCAATTGATGGTGTACCGAACCTCCTCTCGCGTCAAGTTGTGACAATTTCAGATCCATTAACTTTATCAATCCCAGATGAAAAATATGTCTATTATTTATTTCTATCTTATGAATGATAACGGTTGATACAACTTGAATTTGAGCATAATATATGGAGTAATTCAAAAAATATGATTATAGAGATAAATGAGCAATGCGTACAAAGTTATTTAGCAAGTTTTATCATTTACCAATTTACACCTTTGGTTTTTTACTTTTGTGAATCACTGCCTACTTCACGTAATAAGTAGATAAAAACTAATTTTAAAATAAGTGGGTTTTTAGCTATAAGGTAAGCTTGGTGACACTATTAAGTATTAACTAAGTATTAAGCCTACCAACAATTAATTTTATTTGTGTATTTTTTTTTCATAGCAAGAAAAATGCATGTATTTGTTAGATTAACTTTGAAGATGTGGATACATGTTTTTTGTTTTATTATTATTTAAAAAAATGTTATTCAATATTTAGATTGTTTGGGGACAATCTTAACTAGTAGGAAAATATAGATTTATCAATACTTTCTGGTAGGCGGCTGGAACATTTCAACATTCTTAAATTTTCAATAGGAAAATAAGTGATTGACTAATTTTATGTTTGACTATTTCTTTGATTTGGTTAAATTAGTGGTTTTGTTGTCTGTCCATATCATGAGGCTCCCTCTTTATTTTGGTGCTCTTTTCTTTTATTTGTATGGGAGTATGAAAAATAAGTCAATTCATAGGTAAACTTTTTTTTTAAAAAAAATTATAATGATGATATAGTTAAAATAATTATTTATATGAAACTACTCTAAATGCATTTATTTTCATGACATATTATGCATATCACATCAGAATATTATTAGTTTGTGACTAAATAAAAAATTCGTTGACCTATTTGCATTGCTTATATTGCAATATTTAAATAATTTGGACCTTCTTAATCATTTGGGAGGTTGTACTTTGACGCCCCAATAATCGAAGGTTAAAGACTTAAAATGTGTTTAATGGTAAATTACCTAACCACAACTTGACTTTAATCTGACCCGGCCAGCGATCGCAAAAATTATACGGTCAATGTCAATCTTTGTTATGATTACGTAGATGCATATAGGTAAAAACTTAAGTTATAGCTCACAATGGTAAAAGTTGTAAAAACTAATAAGTATCTTTTGAATGGTGGCAAAAGTAGTTATATTACTCCCTCCATTTTGAAATATAAGGCGTATAAAGATTTCTCAATTTTTTTGAAATATAAGGCGCTCTAAAAAATCAAGACAAATTTTTGTATTTTTTTCTAAATATACTCTCATTGTGTTGAAATTAAGGAAGCGTGGAGTAGTTGTGATTAGAGTAAATAAGGTTAATTTAGACAATTTATTCATTAATTAATGTCTCCTTAATATTTGTGTAATAACTTTAAATGCCTTATATTTCAAAATGGAGGGAGTACTAACTTATACAACTGCACTAAATGCCTAATAACTAATAAAACCACCCAATTATTACCTAAAACTAAAAGTAGTTGTACTCGCCGGAAATACAACAAAAAATGTGTAGTCACCTCGACAAACAAAAATTAAGTCGCCATGGGCCACTTGAACGGTTT